AAGCCTGGCCTGAAGTGGGGTGGTAAAGTTCTACTCTCCCCTGCAGTCAACAATCCAGCCAGTTGCCCTGGGTCGATTTCCCTACCTTTCCCCTTGGCATCAGTGGTTACTGGCGCTGTCAATGGGGTAGGTGGCTTAGTTCCACTAAAAATGGGAACAAATCGTCTGTCGGGTTCTTGTACCTCGACAGATGGGCATGAATTTGCCACCTCTGTGACAATGGCAGTGGCAGTGGGGATCCCTTCAGGTACTGGGACCTCAATGATTGGTTGACCCATTTGATTGATGGGGACTACAGGGACCTCTTGGGGCGCTTGCGCCTCAACAGTGGGTTCTTTCGTCTTCTCAGAGATGACAGTGGGAACCCCATCGGTTGATGGGTTTGGGGGTGGGTTTTCCACTGTTACTGCAGGTGGCTTTGGCTCATCACCTCAAGAGAGTGCGAGGAGAATTTCATTTAATTTCTCATTTAGTCTTTCTTCCACCTTAATGATGTTGCAATCTAAATGAGCAATGTTGTCGCTATTCCTGTCAGAGACCAGGTTGAGACGAAGGAAAGTCTCTGTGGCGGAGGGCTTCGGCCTCAGCGACTTATGCCAAGAGCGCTGTGCCAAGTAACACATCTGTGCCCTAACTTACTAACTGGCAACCAGAACTGAAAGGGGGTAAACTCTAGTCGACTGAATATTACTGGCGAGTTGGGTTGCGGGGTTAACGGGAAGGCAGGCGATAACCCAGAAACGGAAAGGAGGGATAGGCCCGAAGGCGGGCTCTGCAGGGCAGGCGAGTGTATTGCCCAACGGAGGCGGGAGTGCGCTAGCGGACGTCGGAGCTGTCCGGAAGTCTTCAGGGCTCCATACTTAGGGAGGTGTAGGTAATAAATTGAAAGGAGGGGGTGGTGACCATCAAGGGGTACTGAGGGGATTGCGGAATACGGAAGCTCCGAGGTTAGTGGAGAAGGAGCGGAGGTAGACCGGAGGGATCGGAGGTACCGGAAGTCATTGGCCAGGGATGGATATGACAATTCCCAGAGATCTGGGTATTCATGTTATAGACATCACCCCTCAAGTCGGTGATGTCATCGTCGATTTGGTCAATGCAATTTCTTAATACTTGTGCCATCTCAGACATGAGAGAATGGGTTGGAGATGGAGGATGCAACATGCACCTTGGGACATATGCTGCAAGAGTCTCAGCTACGAGGGCTTCAGACGTTGTGACCTGGTCAACGTCCCTCAGATAGATTCGATGCATTGCTGGGCCCTTGCAGGCCCAGATCACCACCATCACTTGAGGTGGTGTCGTCTTCTGCCCTATGGCCAGTGGAGGGGCTGGCCGTGTTGGCAGGAGCGTTAGACATGCTCCTGGTGTTGTATCTTGACGACATCAAGAGGATGTATCGAGTCATTCACATGAGAACTTGATCGAAGTCACGCATTGTCAGGGGCCGATGATGCACACGTTGCCAAATGGAGTTTCGGTGCCGGTAACGCAGTGCCAAGAATGGAAAGGAAATAGAGCGTAAAAAAGTGAAAGGTTTCTTACTTGTTTTGGGGACAGTACGTTCCGTTCCCCCATTTGCCTCAGGCCTCAGTTAGTCTGTCTAGTTATACGCTTTTAGTTGCTGTATATTGACGGGGTAGAAGTAAAGGCTGATCCCCCTTTTACAGCTACCCTGAGGGTTTATATACATTCTAATGCATTCTCGGCACAAATAAATAGAGAAGCTTCCGCAATGCTAAATTAGCGTCGTGACATAATTATCAGACAACACAACATCAATTGATGTTGTGGGCAGAATATAGACATGGGCCAGGGCCTCACAATACGACTAGACTTTAACACACAGACCACTTCGTTCCCCATCCTAAAGTTACCTTTGCTGCCACCCACTCTCTTTCACTTTGCAATCGGCTGCACTCCACATGTGCTATACTATGCTTCAGGGTTACCTGAGAAACAAGCCACCAAAATTTTCTCCATCAGGTGGTGAATCATCGTGCAATCAATAGACAGTATGTCATGCTCCTTGTTCATATCCCTGGGGCACCAAGTTCTCCGAGTTGTCCATTTTGGTGGGATACCATGGTCTTGTCAGCGCTCATCTCATGCTTCTCATCATACAGGTACTGCTCGCTTCTTGCACGTTCACTTGTTGGGGGTGCTTTGCTGGGAATCACAGTGCATCATGTCATCCATCACTTGAAATATTCATCCCATTTGCACCATCCAATTCACCCACACCATGCTGTATAGCTTCTTGTATTTGCACAAGTTGTAAATGAAATATCACGCTGTTGTAAATGCAGCGTTCCAAATATGGCAACCCACTCCAGCAGTTCACTTGCAACCCAGATGTAATATAGAAAGAAATATAACTAAAAATACACGGCACTCCAGTGCCCATATTTATACTCCTCAACAACATTCCAGGCTCTTCCATGCCCAGCACTTACGCAGGCACCTAGTAACCTGTAGAATATTCTCGGATATTCCGGTTCAGTCTCATCATGTGACTCATATTCCAACACATGCTGAATACAATGGTGTCCAAACTAAGAAACCAAGGGAATGCATAGCATGATTTCATGGTTAATGTAAGTACAATACTGCTGTTGCTGTCAGGGTCGTGCATGCTCGCAACAAAGGATGCCCCCAAAACCAAGTTGATAGCAAAGCTGGGGGACATGCCCATGCCAGCAAAGGATATATATACACAGTAGAGACGGTAACTAGCCAACTAACTAATAACCGGTAGAAGTGGATCAAAGATGATAGAAGATCACATGGCATCATAACTGATACTGTGTGACCGGATCAAATAGAAGATCAGAAGCGAAAAAGAAGAACCTGATGGGGATACGGGCCATGTGGCACTTGCTACTTACGCTAGCGACCCAAAGACGTGCCCTGACAGTTGCCCACTGTAGAAAATGCAGGTCAACACTTGGGTATTCCATCGTGGAGAGTAGCATGTCACAAACACCTGGAGAATCTTGGTACAATACCTTGGGGCCACAGGCAAATCCTCAGCAGATTGTGTTTGGGGAACCCCGGTATTTGGCAAGTTTTACTGAGGGGAATCCAGGTTTAAACAGCACACGTATTCCGAGTATTTCACCTGGGGCCCCACTGTAAAACACTGTGATTTTCACCAGGGCTTCCCGGTGTTTTTTTTTTACTTCCCACTGTGAGTGGCTGCAACATGAGTTTGATTCTTGTTTGCAACTGCCCACAGGGTGTTGGGACAGTGCAGAGGATCAAAGTTCATGGATGCACCATTTCCCTGGGGCACTTTTTCGATGCATCTGCTTAGTGGCACTAGTGTGGATAATTGCGAGCAAAGTGCATATATACATAACTGCATTTGCCTTGTGGGTCCACACCATTGACACGAGCAACCAAGGGGGGGTCATTCAGGAAATGCCAAACCCCATGTTAGTATGATAGTCTCTGGTCAGAGGGACTAAACCTATTTTGCACACGTCAAAAATTTCGGTTCAAATGTATTTTCAAATGTATATTATCATTGAAAATAAATTGAAAACCTCCACTATGCCAATAGTTAGTCTTGTTTCCTTGCTCGTTTGCTGTTGCGGGATTCTTGATGGGCACTGCATGTCCAGTTTGGGGGAATGTAGGACCTGTTAGAATGCGGGGATTTGGACGAGTCCGGAATGGAATCGGAGACTTAGCATGGAAGGACCTTGGCCTCAGCGACTCAGGCGGAGCGCTGTGCCATTGCTGGTTGTCCTAGGGGTCCCTAATTTCGGATCTAGCAGAGGGAAAGTCTCTTGGGGGGGAATTCCAGTCGATTTCGGACTGAGGTTACAAGTTACTAGGTACATTGTATATAAGGAGGGGTCCGGAATCAAAAGGAACAAGGGTAGGACAAAAGGAGACAAAGGGAGATGGAAAGAGGAACAACACTGAGGGTCAAGTGTTTGACTCAATGGTGTTTCCCAAAGGAGGAATGAAGGGCCAGGGCCCAAGGAGGAAGGAAGGAGGTTGGGAGTGGGGAATGGCTAGCTGACTGAATAGAAAGGAAGCAGCAGCCCAAATAGGAATGAGGGAGAATAGCGGAATTGAAATGGACAATGCAATAGTTGCAAGGTCCGGAGTAAGTCCGGAAAGTCCGAACTCAGAGGTTAAACTCCGGAATATTGGCAAAGGTAATTAAATGGAATGAGCTAACCAATACAATGGGTATAAGCGGAGGTGGGGTCAAAGTCCGAGGTCGGAGCTAAGACCGGAGGTTCCGGAGACGAGACATGAACGGGATACCGGAGCGGAGGTCCGGAGTCGGGAGCATAGGTTTTGTGTACTCGTCTGGAAGGTGTCGAGGTTGGGGTCGGACCCGGAATGTTCCGGAGTCGGACCGAAGGTGGTGTCTGAGCCGGAGGTGGGATAACCTCTTGGGAGTCGGCAAGGAGAAGGTGACGGAAGGGAAGTAGGGCTCCGGAAGTCGGAGTTCGGAGTTCCGGGAGCCCGGAGCGGAGGTCGGGATTGTATGGATATGACAGGACCCTAGACCCTGACATGACCTATGGAACTAATTTGTCTGTCAGAAAACAACAACAGTATTAAGGTATGGTAAAAGGCATATACCCAAACCATCTCACAGCCCGTCCCATTACACCTAACAACATTAGTGCTGTCATCAATTTCACTTGTGGTAACTTTCATGGTACAACACATATGAATGCCAGTAGGATGTTTGGGAGCATGGCACATTGGACAGCCACTGGAATAGGTGGTTGGAAAAGCTGAGGCTGGGGAGGGTGGATGGGGGCTAGGAGAGGTGGGAATATGTTTGGGGGTGCTGGTATCAAGGTCATCGTCAATATCTTGTTCCAGTGGTCCAGTGGATGAGTCCGCATTGACTTCGGGTCGTGTTTCCAGGTCTGTGTCCCTGGATGTAGATTAATAATTAATATTACATCTGAAGTGATAAATAAGTAAAGAAGGATTGGGACATACTGAAGGCAGAGGTGGGAACTATGTGCTTCAGAAATGTTGAGTTTCACCGCTAAGTGTTTCCGTTGTCTAGTTTCCCCTCGATTTGCCATATGGTGATTGTTCCAGACCATCTTGAGACCTTCCAGCTCAAAATATGAGATGTCAAATTCGCTAGGTGGAACAGAAGGGGAGTGGTTTTTTGCATAATGAAAAGCAATGTTGTACTTCCATACCATGTTGGATCCTTTGGGGCACCATGGACACTTTATGGGAACATTAGCACATGGGTTTGTAGGTGAAGGTTGGGAAGTGGCATAAGAAACTTAATCAGCCTCTGACACATCGAATTAGTATAATCAAGCATAAAAGACGCTTTATATTTCTTCAGGCCAATCCAACATGAAGGTGCTGGTGATAGACAGAGCCTGCATGGCTCATCCTCTCAGCTAATAGTTGGGTCATGTAATATGTGAGCTGCAATGTGTGCAAGTAATTTTGGGGCTGTTTCAAAGATCGTGTGACAACATTCACAAGAAATATTCATCATTACCACATCTCTGTCATCCCCCTCAAGTTCACATGAAAAACACACTCTGCCTGATGAGAGAATTGCCCAATGAGTTTTGTGTGACAGTTGTAACCTGCAGCCAACTAGCTCACTGTTAACCTGGTAAGGGAACTTATCCGACTGTTTGATCTCAACTATCTTATGTTGATGTCAGGGCTCGGTCCTCGATCAGGGACAGCCTGACCTCAGGCCTAGGTGTGTGCGGTGTTCCGGGTGGTTGGGCGCTAGACCCCGTCCTTAGCTCCTCAAACTCACTGAAGGGACTAAGCGGGGATTGAGTTGTCATGTATTACAGAGGGTAACTACAACTTGCCTAAGCGGGGATTGAGTTGAGAAGAAGGGTAAGTTTCCCTATTCCCCGCTTGGCTACTATAAAAAGGAAGTGTACTGTACAGTTCATAACGTGACTCCAGGTAGAAGCCGAGCATGTTCCCGCGACTCGGAAAAGGTGTCACATGGGTTAAGGCGAGTTGCTCGCCTTAACCCACGTGATTTTTCCTGCGGGCTCACATGCGGGCTGAAGTTGTGAGAGGTATGTAGGGATGGGGAGGTCTGGGAAGGTGGTTCTGGGGTGTGGTTGGGTGCCCTGACAGCGGGGTCAGGGGCCGATCCCTGACAGTTGATCATCCAGCAAGAGTGCCCCAAACATCACTGCTGTTAACTCTCGCAGCTCATCACTTCAAAACCCATATCCTACAGCCTTCCTCAAGCCACCTTCTCTTCTGATTCCTGCTCCAATCATGGCACTCTCTTCTTCAACAGTAACAACATCAGGATTGATTTGCTGGATGAACTTGCTGGGAACCATGATGCTTGCATCTCATCCATGCTGCCAGACCCAATCACCATCCTTCCCATTTGACAGAACTATGTTTTGCAACTTCAAGCAGAGGATTTGGAGACCGATGGTGACTGTTTCTTCGTTGAGTAAGTCTTTTGATACTGCACTTTGGGGACTCTTATCAACTTTGATGGAACTAACTTGGGCAACACCCAGAAATGGGATTCCCTTGCATCTCAGAAGTGTGGCTACTGGATCTTGGATCAAGATGCATTTGGTCTCCATGATAGAACCATCACCAATGTGATGATGTGGCATGGCGGGGATTTGGGCAAAGCAGGAAATATTGGCAACATGTCTCAATCAGTCAGTCGAGTTTGATGTTCTTGTGAACCTTGTGAATTCATGCAGAACCTTTGCCTTGTGTACATGCTTCCCATTCCCCACATCAATTGTACTTTCGAGCCCATTTTTCCATGCATCCTCATTGTCAACGAGTTCCTCAAGTTCCAGCAAGTCGGGTAAAATGGGAATGGTGGAATCTGGGTTGGGTTGCTGGGGAGTTTCGTCATACATTTCTTCATTTTCACCATCTTCACATACTTCCATCCTGAAGGGGTTTAGCAGATTGGCACCTGGGGTCGACTCAAGCTTGCCAAACTTTTCTGCAGGACTGAATGCCATGAGTTCTGGATCATTTTCTACCTCGTGCCGGCTGGATCTCCATGCAGACATCAGTTGTATGCCAGAGACTCGCATGTCTCCCTTCCACGATGCCAGATTGAGGTGATCGATTTTTTGCTCTATCCCTGTTGTGGTGCTTAAACCCTGGAGCCTTAGCTGATGAGGGCCCCAGTCCCATTCTGGGTGTTGGGAGAGGATTGAGTGGCATTCGACAGCCCCTGAAGTTCAGCCCAATAAAGTGTAAGTGCTAACGTTAACATCGCTCCCATTTTGAGATCTGATAAGGCCAAAAATCCATTCCAGCCTATCCGTGCCCAACAGGATCAAGAAGAACTCGCCATTGGGATTGTCACACTTCTGTCAGGGCTGCAGGTTAACGACTATGATCCGACAGATTCCAAAGTGGAAAGGAGTCGGACAAGGGTTACCTGAGCAGCAAAAAGGGTGAGAGAAGAAGATTACTTCTCTCCCTGCTGCCAGGTGGTAAATAAGGGGCAGTTAAGCAGGGATTATGGGGATGCGGCATGAGGCCCAAGGATATGGGACATGGGAGTGGGGGCTGTGTAGATACGCTGACATACAAACAATGACATGAGGCAAGGACCTCTGACAAATAAGAAATGACTCGGCTCGTGAGAGAGATAAAAAGGAAGTGATAAATGAGAATGAATGGAATAAATGGCAGAGAACTGTGGTACTCTGACAGCTTCATCTTTGCCATGCAAAGGAACGTGTTCTTGACCATGATTTGGATATCACGGTAAAGGGGTAATGGGAGGTAAGCTGAGTGTGCATTATGATCAGTAAAGAATATGTATGCCAGGTGTGCCGCTGCACTAAGAGACTTAAGTTGATCATGAAGGCTCATGTCAACATTTATGTAGGGTAGGATTAGATATTTGACAAGCTTTGAGTGTTGATTGAGGGCAACACGAGTTTCATAGTATATGGGATTGTCCATGGTGAGTGGTGGTGGTAACTTCCAGATAAGTAGCATTAGGTTAAACATTGTAGTGACGTCTTGTTTATCTGTGACATTCATCAGGTTGTTGATTTGGCTTGAGGGGTATTTGTTGCCTTCTAGGTGGGACCGCAGGACTGAGGGTGTAATCTGAACACCACCGACTGAAACACTGCTGGGCCTCAGGTGAGTGTGTCAAAGTCTTTTCATAACATGCTTGTAGTCTTTGTCAGATGTTAACTCGTCCTCTCCAACCAGTAGGTTTAGCAGTGGTAGCCCACCCAGGTAAGCATATAAGTGGGATGTTGGAGATAGTGGTGTGTGCTCCATTAAGGCTACAAGTGCCTTTCCTTGCCTTGATTCGCCATCTGAGGCAAGGCAATATACACTCCCCTTGGTCTCCTTACTCATTTGGTTGCAGGCACTGCATGCTAGGCAGAGGAGATCAGCATGTTTGTCGGCTTTCTCATTTTTGCATGTTGCACTGATTAGAAATGGCTGTGTGATGTATTGGCAATGTGTCAGGGGATGCCCAGCTATCCGGCCCCCCTTTACTCTAAGCAATATCAATGATGTAATCGTTAGCTGAGATTGCGTGAGATAATTACATAGTTAGAATGCAGATATAACTCATTGCGCTGTAGGAGAAATAATATTCAAAGAATAAAACAATGATCTATCAGAATAGTCAACAAACAGGTGACAAGTTCAGACGTTTAACAGATCTCATGATCTTTATGAGACTGGACAGACATTAGAAGATCATTATAAAATATCTACACCCATGTAGTATGAGATTTAATCTACTACAATCATGCCTAGAACTTGACATAGGTGTAATATTCAAAGAATATATCCCTACAACAAGAAAATAGCACATAGACGGCAGAATAAGAAGGAACATTGGGAAAGAAATGTAAATATCTCGGGAACCAGTAAACTTTTGACTGTAATCTTTTTACCATCTGGAAGGACTGTTTCTTAACTTTATCCACGGTTTTGTTTCATTCTAAAAGCTTCAAAACTGACGGAGATATCACTCAAACGGCGAAACACCTTATAATTCATATATATTTATTTGCTAATTCTTACAAAAGGTAATGTGACTCAAGGGAAATATATTGGTGCCCAGAAGTCTGGCGGACCGAATACCATATGATAGAGTATTCCCCGGCGCGGGCGGACAGTTTTTGATCGCATCAGAAGAGGAGAAAATGCTAAAAAACCGGATCTTGTATATTTTCCCATGATTCATCAAAACTTTTTGATTTTAAGCCCAAATAAATCGGAACAAAGGAATGATTGATGATCTGGATCTCGGATCATAAGCATGAAGTGATTCAGAAGTCCGCGGATCAGTTAATTAATTGGGAAGGCTCTAGAACATTAGTAATGATGTGGCTTCACAAAAAGGGGTCAATTAGAGAACAGTCTAGAAAGTTCCTTTATAGCCGAGTCATTTCTAAAGATAACCGTTCGTAATTAAGGCGGTGTAGAGCATAGCTTCAGCGCTACAAGATCCCGCTGAGATCGGCCCAAAAGACAAAGAAATGAATTACTTATTGCTGAGTCATGTCCTAAGTCCATTATTAAGCTTACACAGCCCAACCCCCTATATCATTCTAGAACTATCTATAATACAAATGTAGCACATGTAACTAGTGCAAGGCGTGGGAGTAGAGAGGCCTCTGAAAAGCATAAAAGGCCACCGCTTCTGCCCCCTCTCAAACCTCAGGTAGAAATAAAAGTTTAATTCTCCTCACCAGTGGTTGGTTCGTTTGCTCCAAAAGATAAAAGCAAATATTAGTTGTTAGCTAATATAAAACTAACACGTCACTCTAAGCGTGAGTTAGGGTCAGTTAGACACAGCTGAACAAAAGTGTCATAGTGAGAATTAGTGAGAATTTGGTGGAGGGACTTCTTAATTGAATAATCTCTCAGCAATACTTGGTTATCACACCACAGGAGAAAAGTGAGCGATCCTGAACCTGCTAGATAACTAGCATGCACTCTAAGCGATAGAAAGAGCAGTTTGGTCACTCCTGTATTGAGTAACATTTATTGCGGAATTATTTTATTAGCAGTTTTCCTTCAGTAAATTATCAGGAAAATCACATCCTACTGAAAAGTGGTAAATATAGGTGTAATATTGACTAGAAATCATAGTAAAGTCAATATAGAATTTTATCCGTAGACGATCTATACATCAGGTGAGATCGTTGGGGGGTGTTTATTGTTGTTTAGACAGTGAACAATCATATATTTGGCAACCAAAACACGGTCAGTACGCAAATCAGCACAAACTCTAATATCGTTATTGGACGTAGGAAACTGGTTACATAAGGTGATCCAGCTCCACTCCTTCAGCGCTATATTCACTATCACATCACTCCTTACCCAATATTCCCTCATCTATCTTCCTATCTGATGTCATGTTTCTATCAGTTACCATGTATTCCCAGTGTAGCTGCGCTCTCGTGAGTTAGTGGAGCTCATGTATATAAGGCTCTTATGCCAGCTAGGCTAGCCCCCTAGCTTTGATATCAACTAGTTTCCCGGGGATATCTTTACACCACGAATAGATGTGCGGACTCTGACATGATGATTCCCAGTGAGAGCTCCAATTGTGGCAACTGTAGCCTATCGTCTATGATTTAGCTGGTGCTATGGTTCACAACCCCTTGTCCTAGACGTACCTCCATGCCAAAATGCACTTTTCTGTTTGCCAAGTCATCAAACAGTGTATGCGCATCACCAATGTTATTGATTGCATGTTCATTACACCCTGAATGCTCTCAACAAAGGCTGATCACACTGTTTGTGTGCAGGCACCAGTCCAACACCTCTTCTACCTTAATCTCATCTATCATACAAACAAGGCTGACAACTTGATTATTGGAAGGGGCATCGATTTGATAGGCCGTTGTGATGTTTGATCTCATTTCATCAAGGGTTGGGAAGGCAGGAGAAGCACGGATTGAAGTTGTGCAGTGTTGTCGGGTTGTTGCTATCCCTGGCATGCCAAGTGCTGCATGTGCAAACTCTGCAACATGTGCACCCCCTAACCAGTAGAGCACAACACTCATAAGGTGTTCTTGTTCTGTGCACCTTGGGCTGTAAGTTCCAAGTGCAGCTCTCCCAATAAGTTGAATGATTCCATTAATCCCATGCTTCTTTCATAGCACAGACCACACAAGTTGATTCAAGCAGGGTACATTGCACTCGCCCACAGCCATGACGAATCTTTTGTAGTCCAGGTTTGAAGTCATGAGCAAATCCAGTTTCCAATTGGTGTTAAGACATTGAAGTTTGAGACTGTCAATTTGACGGTCTTTCCGCCTGAGAATTTCGATTAATCCAGATGTCCCAAGGTACTTATATGGGGTGGTCTCAGGGATGCCTCTGTGGATCCGGTCCTGAATACGGCAAAGTCTTTGATTGTTTTGGAGGAGTTGGCATTCTCAGCATGGCTCATTAACCCGCAGTGTCAACTGTAGACAAGTAGGAGCATGCAAGGTAAGAATACCATTTTTAATGTGGATGTCCCAAGCCATTGCTAACTCCACTTGTTCTTTCCATGGCCACTCAAGAAATGGGCTTCTCCCTTCAGGAACGTTGATTCTGACCCCTTGGCATGGATGCTTGTTGTCAATTATTTGGGGAGGTGAGTCACTGTCCTCATCAGAGTCCAGGAGAAATGGGAGGTGTTTGGTACCAGGTTGCAGTGAAGGCAACATGCACTGAGTGAGTACAGTATTATCCTGTCTCCTTGGGGAGGGCCTTGTTGATGCAGGATGGGACTCTAGAGGGATTCTATTGGAATTATGTTAAGCAGCACTTTGGGGGGATTTGAATTTAACGGTGATGGTGACATACATTTTTTTTGCTTCCTCAATCAGGTTATTGATTCGGATCTCCAGAATTTCTTCAGAAGCAAATTTGTTGTTGGTGAAGTATTGGAGTGTAGCACAAAGCCCTGGCAACCCCATTGGGCCCCATCTAATGGCTGATGCTAGGGTGCCATTCCGTTTCGCATATTCACCACAAATATTGTTGAGTTTTTTATCCAGCCACTCATATACATCCTCATCTGGCTCTTCTAGCTTTCAAGTGGCCACTATTTCTTTAGGGTCACCAGTGAGAGCTGCAATAGTGTAAGGAACGGGTGGTGGTTGTCAGGTCAAGTATCTTATTCATTGTTATTCTCATTACAAATAAGATACAACAAATGTATATAGTTCTTTACCTTTTTCCATGTCCTGTCAATAATAAAGCTCTATACTGCTTACATCATTGACAGACTAAGGACAGCAGGGTCACCAGGGTCAGCACCCCAACTGTCATATCCATACAATCCCGACCTCCTTTCCGGGCTCCCGGAACTCCGAACCTGACTTCCGGAGCCCTACTTCCCTTCCGTCACTGTTATGGAAATGGGAATTTCCCATTTTAGACTCTTATGGGTTCTGTATCACATGATTTGTATTGTAATAGAGTTGAACAAATCATTAATCAACAAAAACCCGCTGCCACACTACCTGTTCAACAACATGTTAAACCACCTGTAAACCCCTATGTCCAACCCCCTTCCCTATTCCTGTGCCAGAACGGACGAAAATGGGCGCTTCCGGCCCCATTTTTGTAACAGTCACTTTCTCCTTGCCAACTCCCAAGAGGTTATCCCACCTCCGGCTCCAACACCACCTTCGGTCCGACTCCGGAACATTCCGGGTCCGACCCCAACCTCGACACCTTCCAGACGAGTACGCAAAACCTATGCTCCCGACTCCGGACCTCCACTCCGGAATCCCGTTCGCATCTCCGTCTCCGGAACCTCCGGTCTTAGCTCCGACCTCAGACTTTGACCCCACCTCCGCTTATACCCATTGTATTGGTTAGCTCATTCCATTTAATTATGTTTGCCAATATTCCGGAGTTTAACTTCCGAGTTCGGACTTTCCGGACTTATGTCGGACCTTGCAACTATTGCATTGCTCCATTCAATTCCGCTATTCTCCCTCATTCCTATTTGGGCTGCTGCTTCCCTTCTATTCAGTCAGCTAGCCATTCCTGACTCCCATCCTCCTTCCTTCCTCCTTGGGCCTTGGCCCTTCATTCCTCCTTTGGGAAACACCATTGAGTCAAACACTTGACCCTCAGTGTTGTTCCTCTTTCCATCTCCCTTTGTCTCCTTTTGTCCTACCCTTGTTCCTTTTGATTCCGGACCCCTCCTTATATACAATGTACCTAGTAACTTGTAACCTCAGTCCGAAATCGACATGAATTCCCCCCAAGAGACTTTCCCTCTGCTAGATCCGAAATTAGGGACCCCTAGGACAACCAGCAATGGCACAGCGCTCTGCCTGAGTCGCTGAGGCTGAGGTCCTTCCACGCTAAGTCTCCGATTCTGCTCCGGAGTCGTCCGAATCCTCGCATTCTAACACCAACCGCCCCTTACAAATAGGGTCTGAGGGAGCAGCAAGTGGGACAGTATCAGGGAGGTTCGTCACAATATGTCTCAGTTTTGATAAGCAACTGGCTGATTGCAGTCCTTTGTCTGGTTGACTAGGCATTTTCAGAGCTTCTTCAGTGTGTGGAAGATTTGGTTTTGATGGCAAGGGTGAATGGATGGGCTCAGGGGCTAGATGTCAGGGCACGCCCGCCTGACCCGGCCCCACCTAACCCGGTGCCCCACCATCCACTCCTCCCGACCTCCCCCTCTTCCCCTTTTCTCCCTTCCCTTCCTTCCTCTCCTTCTTTTCTATTCTCTCTCCTCTTTATTCCTTTCTTATCACACGGACGACTTCCTTTGTATCAATGTACCATTGACCCGGCTGCAGTGTAACGTGCCCGAACCCGGACACACTGGACGACCCCCCGCACACCGGACGCTCCTAGGACCTCTTACGGAGGTACCCAGACGGAGGTGGCTGTGCGCTCGGATGACGTGGCGCTTCCCACGTGGCCTTCAACCACATGTATATAAACACAGCCTAAGTGGGAACTGAGAAGCAACCTTCTTCTCACATTTCCCACTTTAGTCTTAGTGGCCAGGGACCCTTGTCTGCTTCGGGCCCGCTGCTACGCGCACCCGCGTCATACCTACCGGACCCTCAGCCTCGGGCGATACACCCGGGCGCTCTCGACCCCGGGTCGGTCCCTGACAGCAGAAGAAGGTTTCAACCTCATCTCCCCCCACCTCCCCCGCCATGGTGACACAAGAACAGTATGACGACCTCCTGGCCCGGTTCCAGGACCTACAGGCCACTGTGGTAGCCCAAGCCCAGGGCCTGCCTGCGCACGCACCCAGACCACCCAAAGTTGCCCCCCCCACCCCCTTCTCGGGAGTCAGAGAGGACCTCGACCGCTTTAAGGCCGAATGCGGGATCTACCTCTACGTCCGCGCGGCCGAATTCCCCAGCACCCTCTCCCAAGTCCTCTTCATGCTTTCTTACATGAAGGGAGGGACTGCAGGAGCATGGGCAACGCAACGCACCATGGCGCTACTGAGGACAGGCTCCCCTACACCCACCATGGACGAGTTCAATGCAGAACTTGACGCCATGTTCCAAGACCCAAACCGGGCGGCTACAGCCCGGCAGAGGCTGGCTACTGTCCGACAGGGAAGTGACCCCGTGGACGGACTCATCCAGGAGTTTGAGATACTAGGGCCCACCTCGCAGCTAGGCGACGTAGGGCTAGTTGACCGCTTCGAGCGGGCAATCAACTCCCGGCTCCGCGAGAGCATCTACCAGCTCCGCCCTATGCCCATCACCTGGGCCGAATGGAAGCGTGAAGCCACGCTCCTTGACAGCCAGTGGCGGCACTTCCAGAGGATGCAGCCATGCACGCCCCCACCCGGGCCCCCTCCACCTGCCCCACCCGTGACCCCTGTAACCCATCCCAGACAAGAGACGAACCCGCACCCCGAGACCCGCCAGACCCGACGCCTGCACCCGGAAGACCTTCAAACGCTGATGAAGGGGCTGAAGGGCCAAGCGACGAAAGGACCGGAAGCAGGAGGGAAAGGACTGGACCCAGACCCAAGAGGACGCCCGGAGACCCAGCCTGTAAGGAGCACACGCCAGCCACCCACAAGGGATAGCTCATGCAGACGCCACGATGCCCAGGAGCCGTCACCAGCACTGAAGCTCCATCGAGTCATCGCAAAGAAAAGGAGAAAAGGAGCACCCCGAGCCCGCAAGGATGAGGAAACCACAGAGACGGCCCCAGAGGTAGCAGTGTCCCCACCTGCTATCTATGTCCTCTCCAAACGGTCCCCGAGATCTGTCATATCCATGCATACCCGACCCCGACCCGACTTCCGGACCTCCACCCTCTTCACCTCCGGAGTCATAACCTACCGCTGCCTTTCCGATACTCACCTTCGGTCTTGGCAACACACCCCTCCTCTTACCTCTCCGACCCCTTCTCCGTCCGTTCCGATACTCATCTCGGACCGAACATCGCCCTACTCGCCACCCTTCCTACAACTCCGCTCCCCCCTCACCACACCTCCACCCTCCCGTCATCCCCTACGCTTTCTCCGTCCGTTCCGATATCCACCTTCGGACCTGACTACTCTTCCTTACCTGTCCCCTCTCTCATTCCTCCGCCACCCTTCCGCCAAGTTACGACCATCCACCGCTGTTCCGTACTTCACACTCGGACACCGTTCGTACCTTACTCCGAGCCTCCGTCATAGTCCATACCTCGGACTTTGACTCCACCTCGGTCTTAGTCCATTGCATTGGTGACCTCATACTACGTGAACACCATTGCCAATATTCCTCGGACTTCCAACCCCGCCTCCGTAACCTCCGTAAGCTCCGCAACCCCCGAGCTTCGCGGACCGCCTCCGGCACTCTCGCCGTTTGTAATGTATTTCTCGCAATTCCCCCTCATCCCTATTTGGACTACTGCTTCTTTCTATTCTAGCCAGTTAGTCATCACCCCCACTTCCCCTCATCCTCCTGCCCCTCTGGGCCTCGCCCACTCTACCTCCTTTCGGATGTATCACAGGTCTTGCCCTATGACCTTCGGTACCGCTCCACTCCCTCTAACCCTTTGTTCCCGTTCGGACGTCTTCGTTCCGATTCGGTCACCCTTTGTTTCTCCTTGTGCTTTTGCCCCTTCCTTATATATATCGGCGCTTGTACATACTCGTCTGGTTTCAGTCCGAAATCGACCTGAAATGCCCCCAAGAGACTTCCTGCTCACCTACTGTGAAATTAAGGACCAAATGGACAAACAGCAATGGCACAGCGCTCCGCTTGAGTCGCTGAGGCCAAGGTCCCTCCACGCTAAGTCTCCGATTCCACTCCGGAGTCGTCCGTTTCCACCCATCTCTAACAAGATCCCTCAACCTTGCCGTGAGGCTGACCTCCCTAACCTCCCTTGCCTCCGTGTCCGTATCAGCGCTCCTAGACTCAGGAGCCACCGGGAACTTCGTGAGCCCTGAGTTCGTCCGGAGACACAAGCTCGAGACCACCCCGCTCCCCACACCCATCCCCGTCCGTAACGTCGATGGAACCCCAAACGAGAACGGGGCCATAACCGAAGAATTAGAAGCCCTCTTGACATTCGGACGCCATACAGAGCGGGCCCGCTTCGCAGTCGTGAACCTTGGGCGACAGTCCCTCATCATAGGACACTCATGGCTGCTCCACCACAACCCGGAGGTGGACTGGGTACGGCAAAAGGTCGTCATGTCCCGCTGCCCATCCTCCTGCCGGCCACCACGAGCACAAGGTGACCAAGACCCCACGCTAGAGCCTGGAGACGGGATCTATGCTGTGATCATTCCTCCAGAGTGGGGACACGAGCTAAGAGCGACTACCACACCCTCCCAGCGGATGGCCCAAGAAGCCCAAGGCCCGGAGGCAGAACCCGTATCGTTCGAGGCACTGGTGCCAGAGCAATACCAAGATTTCCGGGATGTGTTCTCGAAAGAGGCCTTCGATCAACTACCCCCCCGGAAACCCTGGGA